TGTGCGACCATCGGCAAGGACTTTGGATGAAAAAGCGAAATGATTTCAATCATTTTTTTGCGGGATTTGGCATCTGAAATGTTCACTTTTAATTAGCGAGATTCATTGGATGAAAAAAGTAACCCATGTTACCCATGATCTGAACTGTGGGGGCACTATTAGGGATTTTGCAGCACAAATTTATACCCCATGTTTAGGGACTTCTGCAAAAAAGGTAACCCATTATCAGGCGAGTATTCCCCCCCCCCCCCCCCCTCCGGATCTAGCCATCCAACAAACCGTATCCTATTTCATATAGATTGAGAAAAGTTATAAATTTCATTGTGATTGCTATATAGTATCACTGATAGCAGATTGCTTGTGAATTCGCTTCATATTCCGATGTTGAATGGGGAAATATATATTGAAAGGTCATTGGGAAATGGGTGTGTGAAAATGTCGGCGAATCTGGAGAGAGATTGAGAAAGAGAGAGAGAGAGAGAGAGAGAGAGAAATAGATTGAGAGATACTTAATGAAGGGCGTGTATCGTGAAGGTGACCGCCAGAGGAAGGAAACGGCGCTCAACGTCTGCGGAAGTTGATTATTTTCAAACTCCATTTTGGTATCCATGACCTATCGTTTATATCTCTGTTGCCATTGACACGAAGTCTGAATGACGTGGGAGCATAATTAAGGGTATTGCAGACTGCTAAATTATTCATGGAGTATATTGAAGCAAAAAATAAACTATAATACACTGTTTGTTATACTTTAGACAAACGCTAACTTACTATCAAAAGCGAAAAATTGTGAGAAGACACTTACCGCATGGTCTTCCGATGGCAGAATACTCGGCCTCTTCCCAACGAGTGGAGGCAAACAAATTAAACGATTAATTACGAGCGAAAATGACTTAAAGTGACTATTAAAGACTTTTCTCTAGCACTGAAGCTATCACTGACTCTACAGAGACCCATTTCCCCATTGTTATCAATCATGCAATTACTGTGGTGCATTCCAAATCTGCAGTACTCTGTACTCTTAGAACATTTTTGTTTCTTTTTCTTTTTTATGTAATAGTAGTAATAACTTTGGTTTTGTGAATATTTATTCTTGTGTATTTATGTGTATACGTGTGAATGATGACCCTTCGGGCATTATGAACGTGCGATCAGTAATGTTGATTTGAGTACAGTTTCCCATATTTTGTCACCTATGATTGGAGATAATGAGACGTTTGGAATAGATCAATCTTTTTATTTTCCTGATGACCTTAATTCTACCCTTTTGAAATATTCTTTGAACTCGATAAATTTTTCCATATTACATATGAATTGTCGTAGTATTCTAAGTAACTTTGATGGTATTTCTGCTTTGTTAAATAGTCTGAATTTTCAGTTTTCTGTTATGGGCGTGACTGAAACTTGGCTGAAAGACAACTCATTATTGTGCAATATTCAAGGTTTTAGCTTTTTACATAATAGTAGAGCTGAGAGGAGAGGAGGGGGTGTTGGTGTGTTCATTCGGGAAAATCTGATTCATAAACATAGAGGTGATTTAGATATTAACAATGGAGTAATAGAAAGTATATTTATTGAAATAGAGAATGTATGTAATAAGAACATAATTATAGGAGTAATTTATAGGCCACCTGATCAGTCTGTGCAAGAATTTTTAGATATAACTGGTTCAGCTCTTCATAAAATAAACACAGAGAATAAAATTGTATATCTGATGGGAGATTTCAATATTAATCTATTAAATACCACATCTTGTCATAAAGCTAATGACTTTTTAAATATGCTGGTAACTTTTTCTATGTATCCACTCATTCATCACCCTACTCGGGTGACCGATCGTTGTGTTTCTTTATTAGATAATATTATTACTAATGATGTTACTAATAAATTAAACGGTGCTATTTTAGTTGATATCTCAGATCATTTTCCTGTATTTAGTGTTTGTCATCATAAAATCAAGGAAAAGAAATATGTAATAAGCAAAAGACAGTTTAATGATAGTAATATTTTTGAATTCAGTAAACGATTGCAAAATGTCAGATGGAATTTGAAATCAAGTGATTGTAATGTGAGCTATAGTTGCTTTTTGTCAAAATTTATTCGCATTTATGAAGAATGCTTTCCTTTGCAAAAAATAAATGTTAATAGACGTAAGCATAAACCATGGATAAATAAAGTATTGATGAAAAAAATTAAAAAGAAATGGAAATTGTATGAAAAGTCTTTGAAAAATTCAACTGAATATAGGAAAAGAGTTTACAAACAATACAGAAATAAAGTTACAAATGAAATTAAGAAAGCTAAATATCAATATTTTAAGGATAAATTTAATCATGATAAGGGTGATATTAGACTAATTTGAAAGACTATTAATGGAGAACTTGGTACGAAATCTGTCAAACATTGTGTTGAAAAAATTGATGTAAATGGTTCCACAATTACAAACAAAGAAGATATCTCTAAAAGCTTTAATGAATATTTTGTTAATATTGGTTTCAATCTGACAAACAATGTGCAATATTCCAACAGTTTCTACAATGATAATGTATTTGTTAATGACAAATCAGCATATTTTACTCCTATATCATGTAAAGAAATTATCGATATCGTTCGTTGTTTGAAGAATGGTACCAGTGCTGGTTGTGATGATATTAATATTACTGTTGTCAAGAAAATTATACATTTGATTTGTGTACCTCTTTGTTCTATTTTCAATTCTTGTTTGTCAACTGGTATTTTTCCTAATCAAATGAAAATAGCCAAAGTTATTCCAGTTTTTAAAAGTGGTGATCGCACTAATGTACATAATTACCGGCCTATTTCTGTCCTCCCTATTTTCTCTAAAATTTTTGAAAAGTGTTTATATAAGCGTTTAAGTACTTTCTTAACATCGTGCAATATTTTGTCTGAAAATCAACATGGTTTCCGAACGGGACACTCCACAACGACTGCTCTTCTTAATTTCATTGATAAAGTTTCTTATGCAATTGATTCTAGACAGTTCACAAACTTTATTTCTTGATTTAAGTAAAGCCTTTGATACTTTAGATCATGTAATTTTGTTACGTAAATTAGAGGCTTATGGTATTCGTGGAATTCTTTTGCAATTATTTAAAGATTATTTATCAAATCGTCAACAATTTGTTTCTATTCAAAATCAACAATCTTCATATTTGCCCATTCGTTGTGGAGTGCCCCAGGGTTCAATACTTGGTCCTTTACTTTTTTTAATTTATATTAATGATATTGTGAGTTCATCTGATTTGTTACATTTTATATTATTTGCAGACGATACCAGTGTGTTCATGTCTCATAATAATCTCCGTACGCTAGTTGATTCATTATTAAGTGAATGGTTGATCAACAATAAACTAGTTTTGAATGTTGCTAAAACCCAATATATTGTATTCACTAAACGACGTATTAAAGATAATTTTGCAATCAATTTTTATGGTCATCAAATTAATCGTACTTCTTGTGTGAAATTTTTAGGTGTTCATATCGATGAATCTTTAACATGGCATGAACACGTTGGTGTCGTATGCAATCGTGTTGCCAAAGCTGTTGGCATTATTTACCGTTTGAGACATTTTCCAAGACATATTTTAGTTACCGTATGTTATAGTATGCATTGATTTTCTCCCATGTCAATTATTGTAATATTGCTTGGTCAAACAATCATGATTATTTTATTACTTAACTATTTGTTTTGCAGAAAAAAGCCATAAGAATAATTTCTAATTCACCATATCATGCTCATACTTTGCCAATCTTTTCCCAGTTAAATCTCCTAAATGTTTATGACATTAATAGATTGAATATTGCAATATTTATGTTTATGTGTTCTAGAGGTTTATTACCATCTCCAATTACATCAAAATTTATTTTAAATAGTAACATACATAATTATAATACACGTAATGCTGTTGAATACCATCTGCCAAAAGTTAGAACTAATATTTCAAAGTTTACTATTTTTTATAAAGGTCCTCATCTATGGAGCACGATTCCAAACCATCTAAAGAATCAACCTTCCTTAAATAGTTTTAAACGTTCCTTCCGATTGTTTTTATCAAATTTGTACTCAATAACCTGAATATCATAGTATATAATATGTTATTTTTTTCTGTATAATGTTTTCCTTTTCCGTTTTACTGTTTCTACCTGCTTTCTTTTTCTTCTTAATGTTATGTTAATTACGTATTTGTTTAGGGGTCAACGTTTAACAAGGCTAAATGCTCTTTTTTGTTGACCCCTCATTCGACATAAATTTTCTTTCTTAACTAATTTCCTTGTTAATTTTATTGTATTCATATTATTTGTAATGTTACCCTTCTACATGTATTTATATATTTCTCTCTTTTTTTTTTTAATACTCTGTATGTATTGTATATGTTTTTTATGAAGAATGAAATAAATACCATACCATACCATACCATACTTTATAACAGCTATAGAGGGTGTGTCCCCATAGGTCATTGAATTAGGATCCACCATTATGATTCTGACCCTTCCCGCGATGTCTGTATATTTTTAAAACTCATAATCCTCCTTCCCTCATTAGATGTAATATACAAATTGCTCGTTTTCATTTTGGATTTCTCTTTAAATTTTGCATTTGTTGCTCTTTTCAGCAACCCGCTTTCTCTTGCCCTCTCTTTCTCTCCTCTTCTCTCTCTCTCACTCTCACAAATTACATGTTTGTATCCGTTTAAAAAAAAAAATCTTTGTTTACATATTACTGTTCATTTGCCGTCTTCATACTCATTTCATTATTACCCTTTTTCTTCTTTCTCTCTCTTTCTCTCTCTTTCTCTCTCTCTCTCTCTCTCTTTCTCTTTCTCTTTCTCTCTCTCTCTCTCTCTTTCTCTCTCTCTCTCTCTCTCTCTCTCTCTCTTTCTCTCTCTCTCTTTCTATCTTTCCCTTGTATTCCGCTCACACAATACCGTTCGACAAACACAATTCTAATCTTTTAAGAATACATAAACGAGAACGCATGATTTATGTTTTGTAACAATACAAAGAGAATGAAGATTTATTCACCCCTTTACAACATGAAACTCATGTGAAAGAAACAAAAAGTGTTGCTGACGTCATAAAATGAACGAAACAGTGTAAAGTAACAAGATGGGTAATGTTATTTGAAAATCAGTGTATAAAAGTATGTTAACATATTATCTCAATGTGGTACATGTATATGATACTGTTTAATTACTGTACATTTACGGACACCACTTGTAACACCGACAGAGTTTTGTTGGAATAAGTTAGGGAATTTAAAGGAACGGAGAGAAATGGCTCCGAATTGTGACCGAAGGTTTCACGGGTACGTGATTAGATTTCAGTAGTACATTAGGAAAGGAAAACAAATACATAAAATGCATCTGTGCGGTACATTTGCATCAGAGAAGCACAGATCTAATTATGGAAATTGGCAATATCTCTTTTGCAAGATTTTTGGTTTAAAATACGTTTCTAATCACAAAAAAGAGACTTAGTCAGTTAGTCTCATACTTCTCTTCATGCTTTCAATTAAACTTAGATCAGAACTGCGAAGGTCTTTGGTAATAAACACACACATTTATTTAAATTACTCATAAATAATTTACCCTAAGTATACTTCAATAATGTACCGCAATACATTTGTTACAAAATATATTATAATGAACCTTTCAGTTTAATTTTTATCCCCGAGTGAGTACAATGATCTAACCAAAAATATCGCGACACAAAGTTATGTATTTTCATGCAAGTCCCGCTTACACTCCAATTTACCCGAAATTTTGCAGCAATCAAATTCTGGTTATGGCAAAAAATATTAAGTTGTTAAAAAAAAAATATATATATCGTTTTGCAATCTGTTTTCAAATACAAGGAACAAAAAGCAAAACAAGTTAAAGATTTGCAAGGTTGCAACTTCGTTTTTTGTTATAGCTCATTAAATCCCTTTTAATCATTGAAGAAATAATGCCTCCGGCTTCTTCGCAACGGAGGCATAAAAATAGTTTGGTTTCGGTGCAACTTTCTGAATTCTTGTTAGAGATTATCTCTACTGGGTTCAAATAAATTACAAAAAATAGAAGTTGTTATTGTTCAATGCTTTAGCTTTGTCAATTTTTCGAAGTAGTAGCATGCAAAACGGTTACAATGTAAATCCGAGTACGGTACAGCGGCTGCAAATAATTTGGCAAAATAAGGTTTAAGCATTCCGTTTTCATATTTGATACTTCCTTTCCGTAAATTTATGACGTGAAATATCTTGTTGTAGATTCAATAAATACTTATCTAAACGAGATTTGTTTGCTTTCATGATACCAGCACGAAATCAAATCCTTTACGACATTAAAGCACAGTTTACTTAATATTTCAAAGTCGACTTATAAAATATATAGCAGCATACATGTAAATAATAACGTTTAGTTTGCTCACCCGACTTTGCGTATTATGTGTGCTTTGTATTTGTATACACGAGCCCTAATCACAAAGTGATTGACTGAAAAGATAAGTCTGTTTCCTCGATTCTTTCCTTACAATAGGATTAGTAAATAGGCCAGTGATACCTTACTTTTGCTTCAGAACACCCGAAAGATTCTGAGGTCCTGCAACATGTACAGTGTACATTATGCATATGAGATTATTGTTTATCAAATATCAAACTATGTCTCGCTACAGTCTACTTGACATGAAGACAAATCAACAAGTATTTCAAAATACATGCATGTCTAAAGCACATTTGACTAGAATAAGACACCAACGTTTGTTCTTATATACTAAACATGCAGGAATGATATCTCCACTATGATATAAAGTTGATATACACCTCTCTCTATATATAACTATCTTTCAATCAGTCTTCTTTCGAGCTTTGAGTTCAAGGTAAGACGTGCATGTCAAACCATGCCAATCTCCCCGCGATTCAGTCACCAGCTGAAGAGCAAGATGTCTTTGACTTTGACGATTGTTGCCAGCACACAGCAGGAACGGCTGGAGGATAACCCCAGACAAGGCTCAGTTTATATGTCTCTTATTAAAACAACAAGGGTGTTCAAGAGCTGGTGATGATCATGGGCACCATTTGCTGAGGTTGTTGTCGATTCTCGGCGGCCATCGTCGAGAGTTTGCTGACCTCCAATTGCCAGTTAGGAACCTTCTTGGCTGCCATGTGACGTCGGGCATGCTTGGTTAAGTGGTCTGATCTCATGAAGCGGCGATCGCACATGGGACAGAGGAACTTCTTCTCGCCCGTGTGAGTACGCTTGTGTCTCGAGAGTTCGTCAGATCGGGCGAATCGCTTGTCGCAGCCTTCCCATGTACAGTGGAACGGTTTCTCTCCTGTAAATTGTAAAGGAAAAACAACAAAAGACCGTACATGTTAATGGAAGGTGATGTGATTATCATTACATAATTACATATAAGCAATTATCTTTTATGTGAGTTCTAAAAACGCTAACAAAAGCTCGGATATATTATAAAACACAACCATTTGATATCTTGATTTTCTAAATGATACAATGTAAAAATGAGATATAAAATAAGGACGAATGTACTCTCCAAATTTTGAGTGATAAAAAACACATACATTTTGTAGCAAAAATTTAATAGTGGAATTGAGGAATCGCTTGGTCTTTTAAATATATTCTTCTTTAAACATAATTCTAAATGAATCAAGCTCTAACTTTCTTTGTTAGAATGTATGTTTGTATTGAGAAATAATTGTACGGACCTGTATGAGTTCTGACGTGGGCCTTGAGATGAGAGCTCTTGAAGTAGGTCTTGCCACAGCTCGGGAAGCTACAGATGTGATTCCTCCTTCTTGAGAACTCTGTAGCTGCAGGGGACATGGGTGCCTTACAGTCTGACATTGGTGATGTGCTCCGAGAAGGTGCAGGGGCAAGAGGGCACAGCTTCTGTCCTTCCGACTTGTGCATTCCGTTCACAACAACCATGACATTCGCAGGGACAGCCATCACGACCGTTTTGACTTGATCCGACTGTCCATTGCTGCTTTTCATTTGAGTGTTCTGCTGAGGAATCTGGATGAAAGATACCGTTTGCACGTTTGGGGATTGTTCCGTACTCTTAGCAAGCATTGCAGAAGGTCCATTTTGACACGAAACTGGGATCTGGAAAGACCCATTGACGGCAATGTATTTTGGCTGGGGCTCGCAAGGTTGTTGGACAGAGTTTCTGGAGTCTTGCACTTGTGGCATCAACTGCACTGGCCTAGGACTCGATCCCGGCGCCGACATCGCTGGCACAGACATGAGATCTCTCCTCGTCTCGCTGATGACGGGAACCCGATTGTAACACGATGTCGATTGCGTTTGTGGGACGGGGATGGGAGAGAGCCGCGATTGGACAGACTGTGACGGAATGGTATCCATCCTGGTCCATTTACTGGGGATCTCTTTAGATGCCATGATGCTTGGGGTGATGCTGACCAGATTGCACGAGGCGATCCTCTGCGTGTTGACGATGGCGCTACTGGTTTGTGGCATAGAGAATGTGTGGCTCATGGGCATACCGGTGATGACTGTTGGTTTGCTAGGTGGGGGTGTGAGAGGCGGCGTGTCCATCCCCTGTTGGAAAACAAAACAAAGACATATTACAAAATGGTTTCATCTTCTTTGACTTACATCAACATCATGTTATAAAAGCTCATGAGTTTCAAATTGGCGTTTAAATTCTTCAACAAATTGTATCACAAAACAGTCATAATTGAACCAGATAATTATGTTTTGAATCATTGTACATCTAGAACTTGGACATTTCGAGCTAAGAGCCCGAGAACATGTTAAAAATGAATTCTTGATATTAATAAGACGCACCCTCATTCTGGCCGTTGTGAAGTCCATCATCTCTGTAGGATGGTGGTGCTGACTGTTCTCGTCGACAATAGAGACCGGTGAGAGCGGGGCGTTGAAGCTGGTTGGAACCGGCGATGACGACGACGGCACGGGAGAATCGCTCCGTTTGATGGTGACTTGAGAAGGAACGCTCCTCATAGACAAGAGAGTCTGAACGGCGTCGAAGTCAGATTTCTCGATGGGACGAGGACTCATGGTGAAGCATCCAGCAGTAGCGGTGACAGTAGGGATGTCTTTCACTGATTGGCTCGTTTCCTACAGGAAGATGAATTGGCGGAGACAAACATGGTAAGATAATGAATGACCCAACTCTTGAAGAAGAAAAAAAATGAAGTTCCACCACTTTACAAATTTGAATGATTTATGCGTACAAGAGATAAATAACAAGATTGAAACGAGTCGTGAGAAAGGAGATGAGGAGAAACAAATGATGCTTGATTGAAGTTGACAGTAAACATCCCACTGTCACTTCTCTCAGATATGACGGGCAGAAGATGACGTTTGGCTAGGAATAAGACATTTGATCATATATTTGGCGAAGCTCTTATTTTGGACTAGGAGAAAAATTATGCGACTTCAAGGCTACCAACACGCGCACAGGCTTACCCTGGGATGTTGTCCAGAAGAGATGCAGTAGTTCCCATGCCTGGGAGTGGTAATGATATCATATCAACTATGCAAGGCGTTTAAATCGGGAAGGGGACGGGAGGCGGGGGGCGGTAGTGGATACCTTCACAAGCATATATGTTTATATAATAATGTATATGAGTAGGTCGGGTAGAGATAATGATGTAACGCGTTTCAGATGAGGCATGATGATATCAAATGCATTGCGGGTTGTGATCCACATTAACCACTCACTGACTTGTTCATTTACAATAGAGCCACGCTGAAGGACATTTTCAGACACGCGATTTACTCGTGTGTATCCTATTTGTTGACTATCTTTTATTTCTTTGAAAACCATGCTCGGTTCGATGGTGTATAAACTTGCTCTTCTAGTTCTATTCGGGGTTACATCATCCCTGTATCGGTCAATGTCTACGAGAGACTTATACATGAAGGTACGGGGCGCGGCCTGGGTAAATGTCTAGGATTTTTGAGTTCATTTCGAGTTTACACATCTTTATTGAGGGTAAATTATGATAAGCACAGTGACATGAACGTGACAACAATTCTCTGCCAGCGCATGCTTCGTAGACCTGAAAATTTGAGATAAGAGTCATTTTTCCTAAACTAGACATTATATAACAGTTCCAGCACGTTACATAACACGTGTGGGGTGATTCCATACGCGTATACTGGCACAAAGCGACACACCCCTGTACCGACCTTCTCATGCATATTCATTACCATTCATATGATAATCAATCCCAGTTCGAATCGTTCGCGCGCGATACGATCGTGGTTTTACGCATGTCATTGAGGGCTTGAAAGTCAAACCATATTCCTTTCATTTTCCCCTTTTTGGTGCCCGTGAATCTGTGATAGGAGTAATTTCTCATGATATATCATCTTGAGCCTCGAGTTGCCCGGCCTAGCACTAATTAAACCATATCCGTTAAATGTAATCGTATAATCAGCCTAAAGCGTATATTTAGTATGTTGCGCCGAAGCAATTAGACTAAAGAATTATGGTGGACTTAGTTATACGTTATCAAATTATTAATTTTTGTAATGACTTGATGAACGAAATCATAATGGTATGAGTATACTAAGTATTTTTGGCCTATATTTCATGAAGTCTACTCGGCAAATGAAGACACTTTTAATTAATACGACAACGGAAATTTACATTGAGACATGTATTTGATACCAGGGTACTGATCTGAACGTCTTATTATCCCATAATTTATTGAAATGGAAATGATTTCTAACACAATTACATTTCATGTCAAAGAATTATTTCACACTGTAAATTTCTTTATTTATTTACTTTATTTAAAGATTTTTTTTTTTTAGAATTATGAGATTTGTATATTGACTCATTGCTTTCAGATTGTATGCAAATATATGCAAATAAATGAATAAATTTTATTAACTTCCTAAGTATAAATGTCACATCAAAAAATTCTTCTCTTTGTATCCAACTGTACAAAATTCCTCGATATTCACAACAACATACATTTGGCCATGTACTTTACAGTACGTAGAAAATACAAACGAGGTCGTTTCGAAAGAGTTCATCCATCGAGTCATCCCCTTATCTTTCGTAATAACATTTACAGCCGTAAGCGCGGGCATAGTGGTAAAGCATGCTGCCTGTGACCCGCCGCAGTGTGTCTTTGAAAACCGCGAGAGAATCCGACAGCTGTACGCTGAAGGTGACTTTCACAGCGTGATATCATCAGTAGGAGCGACCAATCAGATCGCACAATTGCCGCCGACACCCATTTTTATGCATAAGGAGGAATTACGCGTTCCGCCTACATGGCTGATAACACGAATACAATAGAATCGAAACAACAATGAAAATTACATTGACTGCGTGAAATACACGAAAGGATTGCTCAATTTTGGTCAAGATAATTTAATAGTCGCCTTTTTAATGACAGGTCGGGTTTTATTCCAGTAGTATACAGGCTGCAATTAACTAATTAAATGTTCTACTGACTGATCTACATTCTGCGTTGATTTCAAAGTCTCAAAACTAGAGAGTCTAAGTTAGAATCTCATCAGATTTACTACTTATTTTACTTGAATTAGCAGAATAAGATCATTATTATTAATATTAGACCTAGTGTCTAGATCTAGATCTATCTAAAACAATATTTGTATGCGGAAAATCTACAAATTCTGACTGAAATGTACATCATTTGAGAACCAATCAATTAAAATGATCACTTACAATGCCAGAATTTACAAAATAAACATAACATATTGGAATAGAAGATTCACTGAGCTGAAGGGGGTTTGAATTTGCTTTAAATTGCATCGCCGTGTCTACTTCAGACTTATATTTAATTTTGACTATATTGCTTATACAGTTCCTGATTTTGATCTTGATCTAGGTCTAGATCTATTTATAAATCTAGGTCTAGAAGATATAGATTCGAGTAGATCTAGTGGCCTTTTGGTGAGCAGTTAAAACATAACACCAAGCCAAGATTCTATTTGCCCTTGTCTTGTGTCTTTGTTCGACTTCGAGAATGTCGATAAATCTGTTGATTTAATCTCGAGATTTAATCACCTTTCTAACAAAGGTCAGTGTCCGTTTACTGTCCTTCACGTAAGACGGTCACACCATGGTCACATGTAACACTAAACAGCAGATGCTTTGTCTCTGGTCAAAGTCAAACGTCTGGACTCTAAATCAAATGCTCTAACTAAGGACAAGGTGTAATGTAGAGATATTAAATGGACGAAAAAGAACATTTAACATGAAAAGATAAGAAAATCATTGCTTCTTGAAGAATTTTTCCGTTTAGGTCTAAAGTTAGACCTAAAATCTAGATCTAACTTTAGTTTTTAAGCTTTGTGAACAGATCATAGACTAGAGACCTAGACCTAGATGATAGATCTAGATAGAAATGTTATTAGACCCTATCATTAGTTAGTCTGTGTTCAGTGCTTTTCTTTTCTTTTTAATTCGTTAGTTTTTTATCTTATTATTTAAGGAATTAAGATTTGTTGTTAATTTTTATGATTTTAGTTGGACAGTTTCTAACCTGACAACTGTAGCTGTGCAACCCCCTACCCTGTGGCCCTAATTAGGGATGTTACTGTTGTGATGGTAATGGTGGTTATTTTACCTGTGACTGTGTCATGTGTTAGTGTTAGTTAAAACTTGGGCTGTAACTTGAGTAACATTAACAACTAACAGTAACAACATCGAGCGAGAAAGAAGTAGGCCTAGATCTAGACTCTATTTGCTTAAAATATTAAATGCACAATGGCAATTATAATTCAGATCATGAATCAAGTCAAAGTTTAAACATCGATCTAGGTCGAGATCTATCACTATCATCACTGAGACGGACATTGTACTTTGTAGATCTAGAGCTACTGTTAGTGTTGGAAAAGTCAAAGTCAAATTAACTCATGAGTCATGTCACAGTGTCTGTCACTATCTCTGCTGCTCTGGCCTCTGTGTGTGTGAGTGGAAATGGACTTAGGTTCTAGGCTACTCTTTACGATTTTAGACATGGTTAAGTTTAACGACAGTCCAGAATAGATAGGTGGATTTGGGCAGATATCCAGTTAATGGAAGGACTAAATTAATAGTTAAAGGGACTGTATCGGCAGTTTCCATGTGCAGAAGGCCATAATTCGCTGACACCAGACTTGGTGGGAATACCATTAATGGGAGTACACATCTGCACACAGCAAACCCGTTGGCCAGTCAAGAATCCCCCCTAATCTCTCGGATAATACTCGAGAGTTTTCGGATAACGGGGAAAGCAAAGCATTACATAAGGTCTAATGGTCATAAAACTCAAGGCTAACCCGGGTGATTGACAACACCTGTTGTTGGGTAAACAGCCGAACGGTGTCGAATTCCCCATGAGAGCTGACTACCGAGTGTCTTTAAAGTCCCAATTGTCACATATCATCAGATTCAAGTCTCTACTACGAACACCATGGCATGCACGAAACAGCTGATCACTCAAACTTCAAAGTAACAATGCACTCGCGCAGCGCAGCTAGCTAGCTGTGCGGTGCGAGCAGATCCCTTCCTCGGCGACTCGCGGGTCCCTAACAAAAAACCTTAATATTTGTTTCGCTTATCTTGGCGATACCCCGACAATTTATGTGCTATAATCAAACACACATTTCCAATGGCATTAGACTATCAATGAACATAATCGTGAAACATGATGAAATTATTGGGTGTTGAGTTGAGCATTAGCCTACCATGGATCACTCGCGCTCCCGTTCGACTTTCTCGCGTCACGACCCGTCCACACATCATCACACAATCTTGGTTCTTAAAATCTCTAAAAATATGGGAAAATGATGGTCTACATTAACTGAAACTAAGTGAAAATGCTTACCGAAATTAGCAGTGTTGGTGGTGTTGATGGTGGCGATGGTAAAACGAATTCCATTACAAAAAACACGGTAAAACACGGTACAAAATCCTTTGGCAGATGCACGTTAGCGTTCGCAGGTTGTTTACGTTAGACTGGTTCATTGACTATATAAATTCGAGCATGAGCGGTGTGTACTGTCCTTGCATGCACTGAGTGTGTATTTCAGGCACTGCATGTCAGTGAGACTTACGAAACGATAACAAAACAAAGTAGCACGCGGTCGGGACGGAGGCGTGTCAGAGGATTGACCAATCAAAACGCGTAAAATGGGGGGCTCGCCCAAACATTCGCATGTTAACACGCGCGGCATGCATGAGAAGCTCCAAATCGTACACTTTCTCAAACGCACGTGGAGGGTGCCTGAATGAGAGCAGCTCAGAAAGGGCTTTCCCCGTACGGGATACACTTCTATCTTTTGACCGAGTACATGTTCCGCAAATAAATATAACTGAAACTTGCGTAATTTCGAGTCAAAACACGGATTTAAAAAAATCAATATTTATTATTAGCTCTCAAAAGTGATGATTAACCCTTACTGTACTGGGCTATTTTGAGCACCCTCTGACTGGGGGGGGGGGGGGGGGGGGGGGGGGGCCTGGGAGGCCCCCCCCTATTATCTCGGCCGTCGAATGTCCGATGAACACGAAAATTTGCATATTTGTAGATATTTACGTAAGGAACAAGATGGTATAATTATTTTTTTCCTAATATGCAAATTTTCTCGTTATAGCCTAATTAATTATGCAAAATGCTAATTTTATGCATTTTACAGAAAACTCTACATATTTGTCCGTAGACTTATGAAGAATCTTGAAAATATGTATTGAATGAATGTTCCCTTCATCTCAAATTCATGAGGTTTCATTATTTTTATGATATTTGAAAATGCATAGGTTAATTTGCATAAATTATGAATATGCAAATTATGCATTCATGAATATCAAATCTGGAACTATATTTAGGGAACTAGAATCATTACAAGAATTGTCAGACTCCACTTTTTGAATGTTGAAACTCATTATTCATATGAAACTTCTTTTCTAACACAAAATAGTTATTTGATCTAATTAATAATGATTATTTATGCAAATTTGATGCGATTTTCAACTATTTATTTTCTTATGTATTTTATTGTTTTTTATTTCTTATTATATCTATTGTTTTATTTCTAATGTATTCTTTTGTTCTGGAATACATCAAGTTACTCTGAGAGACATATAAAAGCAATTGGATATCAATTCATATCTTCACATTTCTGCTTGTACATGAATATATACAATTATAGCACTTTTTGATGACATGCGCATAATAATTGTTATGTAACACCTTACAGGTATATCCGATTTTGACGAAAATGGTATCAAAATGTGCGCAAGACGTGAGGGAAAAAAGGTTGCGGCGCGATCTCCAAAAATGTCGAGGGGGGGGGGGCCTCCCAGGCCCCCCCCCCCCCCCCCAGTACAGTAAGGGTTAAATGAAATTATCTAAAATGCAATGCAGAAGCTATCTTGAAGCAAATTTCTAACCTCACTTGGTTCGGAAAGCTATTTATTTTATAACAACAATAAAACTAATGGGAAACAAATTTAGCGACAATTTAATTGCCCTAATAGTTTTGTTTATTTTTTAAGTATACTGTAATTATATTTCACATAAAATGAAATTACACGTTAGTTACCGGCCTCCTCATAAATATAGATAGGCCTATTCGCCGCGGTGTAATCCAATTCGTCCCTGTTTTCACGAAGTGACGGTAGAGCGCGCAACTAAAAGAAAGTTAGTTTTGAATAAATCGCTTTCAAAGATTCAAACCATAATCTCAACCTCTTTAATGTATCAAAGGCAAATAAATTTTATATCCTGGGATAGAAAATATCTTAATGTTCAGTTCTATGTTTAAATATTTCCATAATTTCTTATATTTTTTGGGGAAATGAGCTGTAAACATTACCGTCACTTCGTGAAAACACGAAATTCAAGGACGCGCTGTGATTTTGTTTTCACGAAGTGACGGTACGTAGCCGCGCGCGTAAAACATATGGGATTTTTCTCTCGTGGATGGAATTCCCGAAATGGACACTAAATACGGCAAAACGTTTTGTTTAATTGATGTACAGATAAAATAATTCAAACTGTGAGAAAGAGTACATTTTCCTCTTTCTGTAGCTGCTTTTTCATTTCTCTGTGTGAACTGTTAACACAACCGTCATTTCGTGAAAACACAAATTGCATAGAACGCTTTGATTTTGTTTTCACGAAGTGACGGTACGTAGCCGCGCGCGTAAAACGTATGGGACTCTTTCCTTGTGGATGGAATTCTCGAAATGGACACTAAAAACGGTATTATGTTTTATTTAATTGATGTACAGATAAAATAATGCGAACTGAGAGATAGAGTACATTTTCCTCGTTTGGTAGCTATTTTTTTTTTATTGATAAGAATGAACTGAATGTCTCTGTATGACTTTTAACTTAACCGTCATTTCGTGAAAACACAATTGACGCAGAACGCTTGTATTTTGTTTTCACGAAGTGACGGCTCGTAGCCGAGCGCGTATAAAACATATGGGATTTTTATTGTGTGAAGCAATTTCATGAGATAGACACTGAAATACGGCAAAATTACTTGTTTAATATATGTATGGATAAAATAAGAGCACCTTTTCTTCTTTGTATAATTATGATGTTAGATGTATGATGTCAGTTTTTGTTCACGAAGCTACGGCTCACAATAAATTAACTATCAATAGCACAGATGGATATTGGCACTAAGTGCTTTTAAAATGATTAATAAGCTATTCTCTTTAATCTTAAGCTAAAATGGATATGTATTATTTGAGGTTTAATTACCAGGTACATTGTATGTAAAGGGACTAAAGATTGCACTAAAGTTACTATATACTTTACACTTAAGAACACGTTCAAGTAGTCTCCCCTCTCTCTCTCTCTCTCTCCCCCTCTCTCTCTCTCTTTACCCCCTCCATCTCCCCTTAATATCACACAAATTCTGCCATTTCTTGTTGAAATTCATGCGAGTGATATCAGGGCTTTTGCTACTCTATTACTATGAGGAATTTCTAAAATTTTAGAGAGGGGCCTAGCTAAATATATTTTATCAGATAGGAAATAAAGCAAATATGTTAAGAAATATTTTTGAATGAAGAAAAAAGATTCAGTATTGATAATTGACCATAATCTGTAGTTAACTACTCAACTCTGCAATATAAACACAGAAAATGAATTTTGACTGAGCAGTTTTAATTCAAACATTTGGAACCAGAACAGCAAGTGGAAAATGGAGCATAAATTCAAAAATATTACATAATTCATACCAAACATATCATCATCAATTATCATCAATACTGTATTGCATTTTAAAATGTACATTTAGGGTTTTGTGGAAAAGACTCATCAGTTATACATCCACGGAATACGAAGGTTATTTCATTCATTATACAGTACTTGTGAATATGCTAAAATGTCTTTATCTAATTCTTTATATACGACTTGGTTATCATGTTTATTCAGCAATCGTAGCGAGTAAATGCCACATGTGACATACAAAATGCTCGACAAACATGTACTACATGTATCATGAAGTTTTTCAATGGGAAAAATGACTAATATAATCATCATCGTTACTTTTTGTTCATCACTGTTTTTCATAAATATCTTGTGAGTAGAGTATCAGAACCAAGTCAGTTTACACAATCTCTTTCTAAGGTATTTCAATGAAATTTAGTACACAGTCTCAAACGCTACAAAGTTTACCAATGCTTAAAGGTTGTCTTCACCCAGGTAAACACGTAATCTCTGACTAAACTATTATCAGCATGATAAACATGGAAATATCAATTTGACTAAACAATTTCATTTCTCATCAAACAGATACAATTCAAAACAGCAACATTATATTGTATGATCATTATAGGATAGTTTGAAGTACCAAATACAATTATGATGAGAATGACTATAGAAGTTATAAATTAAAACATTAAATGTGAACTAGCAACATTGTGTTTTGAGAGAAAAACCAATTGTTGAAATGTAACTTATATTCATGTTCTAATGAAGGCATCAACCCCTGTGAATACAAACATTTAAAGAAAATGGATAAACAAATTTTTCAATACAAAGATACAATATGAGGATTCATGGAACTGGAATCGAAAATTCTAATATGCATTACTGATCGAGGTAGGTATACCTGATAAATAGCAGTTCTGAGCTATACATTTGAATATTAAAGATTTATGTTTGCAGGAGTTCATTACAATACTGTAACAGAAAACTGACACCTGTACGACCATTCAGTTAATTGTTTCAGAACTCATGGAAAATGTTACCAGTTTGCTTTAAATCAATTCATTGATTTTATAATCAATCCATTTCATTGTAATTACTAGTACACACAATTACAATTATGAGTGGAGTTTGCTTTATTTATGATATTCAAAATATTTAAAATCAAACAGTATAAAAGAGAGATTGAGGTTTTGAAACATTGAAGCATTGCCAAAACAATCAATGTAATTGATTCTAGTTTCTCAAGCATGCCCTTCAACACAAGTCCTTCAAGTTTCTTCACACATAATGTCATCCAAGCGATAGTGGTTGAAGCAGAGAAGATCCTTGATCTAGACTGCTTGAAAGTAAAAGGAAATAAGAGAAAGAAAAATCATAATAAAAAAAGTCCAAGTCAAAATCAATAAAAAAATCATTATCAGAATTTCAATTATGAAAGGGAAACTTTACAGTGCATTATGATTGGGCAAAATTATTATTTGTAGTTTTGGTACCCAATTTTAGAGAGTCTCTTAATAAATTAAATACTTTATGTGGTATCACCTTAGTATTGGAATTTTTTTATAAGGATTTAAAAAAAATTAATGCTGACCTCGATAGGACCACCCATTCCCTTAACTAAGAGACCTAAGCATTAAAAACAATTAAGAATATCTTAAATTTTAACTATTGGGAAACAATCAAGAAGGAAAAAAGATACCTTTTGACTCGCTCACAAGCATAGACAATGGGTCATCATGCAGAATCGCAATCGGAGCCGTCAGGAGACTTTAAGGGTCACCATGCCAAGTCACACATGCAGCTCTGACTGTGTTCGGTGAATTGCTTCAACAGTGTTCGGTGAATTGCTTCAACGGTTCC